CCCGGTATGAGTTGGATGGAATCTGGTAGCATTCGAACCGGGCGACCAAGAAAAAAAAAAGCGCCGGCGTGTTTATTTAGATTGTCCGACCGATTGTCCGAGCAGAAAAAGCTTCCATCTAACTCACGGGGGTTCGAGTCCCACCGGTAGCTGAGTCAAGCGATTTCTTCCTCTTTTGCTCACCCACCAAAAAAAAAGCGCCGGCGGCAGGGCTTGAACCCATGACCCGGGAGTCCCCGCCCCGACCCTGCCCGTGGGCTCTTATACCCGCTAGCTGTGCGTCTTTCTCGCACCAACGCGTTTCGCCGCCTCGGAGGTGCCTGTCGTTTGGCGGGCTGTTGCGGTGGAAGCTTGTTGCAGCTTGGCGAGCGCTCGCGGAGAGGGGCTCAATGCCACCCGCCCTACGCAGATCCCTGCCCCCGTCTACAGGAGAAGCGAGGGGGACAGGGAGTACGTTCTCTTTCTGGTAGAGACAGTCCTCAAGGGACTGTGTGCAATATGAACGTCATTGTTCTATTCCTTCCCCTTAGTGCAGATTTAACATCAATGATATACACCATGTTTCAAGATTAAAGAACTACCAAGAAATTAAAAATTCAATTTTTGTTCTCTGCTTAACTGTGGCAGTGGCAAATTGATTGGGTTATCTTAAATAGTTCACCTCGCATTTCCAATAAATTATATTTCCAAGACACAATAGGATACATACATTCACATTCAGTACCAACTAGTTTGTTGAGTTCCTTGCCTCAAATGCAAAATATCAAAAATTATCTGACATGTTAATGAGGAGCACACAATTCCACACGAGACAGTACTTTAACAGTATGGTTAATTTCAGTTTCAGAACATGAACTAGAGTAATATGAAACTTAATAAATGGTCGAACAATTTGCACAGATTGCTAAATAGGAAGTAATTAATTCATTTGAGAAATGCTGAACAACCAATACCAATGAAACAATTTACAAGCATATGAGTTATCAGTAAAAAATACGTAGTAGCTCGAATACCATTTACAGTTACATTTTACAGTTTTTCTCTTTGGTCTTAATGATGTATGATACAAGTGAGCACAGTAACGTTGATATAGATGTCCAGAAAATGGTAGTATCAAGTTCATTCAAGGTGCATATGCTAACTCTGCTAAATGTGCTCAACACCCTGATGGGGGTTTACATACAAGATTTAGGATAGTCTGAACTTTTATGCCATTAAATAAATTTGAACTCTTCAAAATTCCATGGAAATATATTATAAACTTCCTTCACATTTTATCGGCAGAACACAGCCCTCAATTTTGAAGACAGACTAATTTGAAAAGCTCATTGTAAAAAATTCCTAATACTAAATACCTGAAAGGTCCATAGGTTGACTCAACAGTGAGGGACTGAATCCATAAGAGACAATAGGATGATTTCACTACATATTTAAAATGAATAGGAAGTACTAAATTGATTGGAAAAATGCTTAACATTCTTAACAGTAATAAATTTTACAGTTTTGCTCTCTATGAAATGATGTATGATGCAGGAGTACGCAGATGGTTTTGATGTCAAGAAAATAAGGAAGAGATTAGACTTTTTTTTCTACACCCAACACAAAATACAAGCAATAAACCCTGCAAAATCCTACCAAAATGTAAAAACTAATACACGAGAACCAATACAACAAACACCATTCTATACTACAATCCAAAGAGCCATATACCATGATCTATACTACGATCCAAGACAACAAAATCCATGCTCTATACTACGATCCAAGACAAAGAAGTCAAGAAGTCAGATGAATGACATGATACAATTAGATATATTATATTGTCAAATGATTCTCTTGTACTGCCGTTAAGTGGGATGACTTCCATCTGGTTGAGCAGCAATGTTGAGATGCGATCTGGAACACACATACCAAATAAATTTGTTTGCGAGGAGATGGAAAACAAAATTTAAGTACCGGACAAACTGGAATTAAACTTTTTCAACAGTTTGGACCATAATAAACATTGCTGGTGTTCTACTTAAGATGGGGCAAACAAAAACTAGAATTTTTTCGCAAAAGTGTTTGAAATTAGAAAGCTTCCACAAAAATGTGATTTTAGAAACAAATTGTCCAGCAACAACAAATTGTCCAAAACAAAAGCAAGCATAATTCACTGTAATTTTTTTTAAATGAAAGCCTTAAGCTAGAGTGGAAAGATTGTTTGATAAATACCTTTTCGCTGCCCCACGCCAGTCGAACAGCTCCTCATCTCCTCGCTCCAGTGGTTCTACGGCTCACCCTGCGCATCTGAAAGGAGAAGCAGTCTCATCTCAATCCATAAACAGCACCTCAAAGAGTTCTCGTTACTATTACAACTGTTATCAGAAATACTTTTTGTAGTAAACTAGTTGTTTGTACATGAATAATGTGTGCATGAGGTCTCAGCCTGGAAAAACTTACTGGTTGTAATTGTTCCGGTTGCTTGAAAGGAAG